TTTATATATATATATATAAGGATTATTCGATGAATGTAAAGTTTAAAAGAACAGCATTTATTCAAAATAAAAATCTTTTGTAGACTATAAATTTCTTTAATATCACTTTTGATCAATGTAATGCATCCTTGCTGAACATAAGTATTTATTTCTCATAAGCAACAAAATAAACAGTAGTGTATGTAGCTATTTGGATGCTTATCTCATATTATGGATAATATTTTTATTGTGTTTTTATTATATATTTTATATGTTTTAGGCGAGACACTGCAGGTGAATAGGGTAAAAAAAACAACAACTAATAGTTATGGCCTTATTTACCCAGCTGATTGATTATGTTGATAATTGCAAACATTTTTTGTATTACAAGTTTTCTAAAATGTTAGGTTTAAATATGCAAATGAGTCATCATTTAATTAAATATGCGCTCATTTGCATACATTTCTAGAACAAAAATCGAAACACTGGGTGATGTCAGTTTCAAAACTCTTGTTGAATTTTTTTGACATATTAGAGTCAAAAGTTTTTACAGAGGGAATTCTGGGTCTCTCATTTTTGTCACTCCATAATTCAGAAAACGCTTAGAACGGACAGAAAACACTATATATTTTTTTTACATTTTTGGGGGGAATAAAATGTTGTACATAATGAAGCAAATGAGTCATTATTTAATTAAATATGAGCTCATTTGCATACATTTCTAGAACAAAAATCGAAACACTGGGTGATGTCAGTTTCAAAATTCTTGTTGAATTTTTTTGACATATTAGAGTCAAAAGTTTTTACAGAGGGAATTCTGGGTCTCTCATTTTTGTCACTCCATAATTCAGAAAACGCTTAGAACGGACAGAAAACACTATATATTTTTTTTACATTTTTGGGGGGAATAAAATGTTGTACATAATGAAGCAAATTCTATATGAACAAATCCCTCTGTAAAAACCTTCAGGATACAGACAGGAATATAAATGTAAAGTTCGGTGTGTGTAAGTGCTACTGAAGTGGCTCAGTTTAGGAGAAAAAACTCATTTTGAGAAAACGGCCTTTAAAAATATGCATTGTAATTGAAATCTTTTCACACAAATAGATAAAGTGCTATAAAAGAAACACTTATCAGTGTCTTTTGTATGTTTCCTTTCCACTAGTCTGAAAAAACACTTTATGAAAAACCAAAAAGCCCAAAATCTCAAACTTGACAGGTGCATGAAAAACAGTGTTTTTGCCTGCAGTGTCTCCTTACACTAAAAATGTAATTTCATAAAACCCATGTGAAATATGAGTAAACTTGAGTAAACTTTTACACAGTTTAGGTTTATTTTTAATCCATAACAAAAGCAGTTTAACAGTTTTAAGTAAAATACAACAGGCCTTCTGTTAGATGAGTTAATTTGCTGCGCTTCCACGCTTCGCCACTAGGTGTCGCCGATTCTCACGCAAACGCGCTCCCGGAGCTCATGGCGCTGTAAGAGGGAGGCGCTTATGTGGAGTAAAGTATCAGCTGGGAGAGACCGGAGCTGCATTCACTCGCGTCTCACTGTGCGGACAGCATCTGTCAACTCCCCGGACCAACTCATTACAGCGCACAAAGAGAGAGAAACACACCTGCTACTGATGCGAGAGGCCACAGCACACTTTACAGCGCCATGCGATGAAACAACCGCCAGCGCGTGAGGAACAGCGTCCACATCTGAGAAACAAGGACAGACGCCTGGCATCACTGAGCAACTCGATCTGGAGGTGAGGCTGGAGATGGAGATGGTGATGTCGAGGATGGCAACTGTACATTATTATTGCATGGAGCGCTATTATATCACGTGCGTGTTCTGGTTTCGGTGAAGGTGTTCGGGTACGCCGTCCTCTTTTGCTGGATGTGGAAAAACTTCCTGCCGGGATTTAACAGCGAACGCTGGATTGGGTCACTTGGACCACACGGAAGATGCGTTTGTCCTGGATACTTCAAATAGTTGATTTGCCGTTTGACACTGGAGATCTACCTGCATGGAGAGTTTAGTTTCCACCCTTAAGTGCACCAAAACTCCATGGTTGCTTCTCCTAACCTAGCTAGACTGCCTTTAATTGTCAATATATGTGAAATCAAATCTTAAAAGCACAAACATGCTTTCTAGGTAGACAGCTCTCTAGGTTTGGAGACGCAGCCATTGGCCACCTGGGTCAGGTGTTTGTTTACAGCAGGCACTGTCAATATTTAATTTTTATTTTTTTTATAAAAGCTTTAAAACCAATGGCAGATTATTTTTTGTTTAATGACTTAATTACTTTCACAAGCATTATTGCATTTGACTAAATCAGCATTAGTGTACATGTAGTTACTTGAGAAAGCAGGTCATTTACAGTGTTCTGGGTTCATCTTTCCGCTGTAGTTTTTGACAGTAGAGATTTATGTTTATTTAATGTTTTGTTTGCTCTCTATAAGATTAACCGAAGAAACTAAAAATGATATATAATTAGTTAACATTATATATTTATTATATATTAAAACTAATATTTCACATATATATATTGTATGAGATAATATATATAATTATATATTATATATAAATATATAATAACCACTGTATAAGAGTTCAAACTAAACTCTGCAGGAAAGTAGATCTCCAGGAGCCCTGCTTTTTGAGTTTTTTTCCCCATGCATGTCCTTATTGATTGGTACAATATCATAAGGGAGTCTGATACAGTAGGAAGCTTTTGTTGAACCCGTAAGCTATTATGCATTTTTTTTGCAGCAAGTACACAAATGCAATCTGAATTGATCCCTACCAGGCAACGTTACGGGATTATTACAGATAGCAAAATCGATTGCATGTGCAAATGATACAACAGTGCATTTGTAAGTGTGTTCAGTGTTATCTCAGAGGTCAGCTGTCTCTCAATATAAACATATTTCACACGGCACTACACGCATAACACTCGACTCGTTTCCCCCGTGTCGTCAGGATAATCCGTGTCGTGCCATGCATGTGTTCTCATGCACACGCAGAAGTGCGGATTCCGTCGCAACAGCCGTGGGGCTCAGTGGAATAGCAGTGCTGTCATGTTCGCAGACGCAGACATTGATAACATTGGCAAATGTATCAGGTTGCAGCTTGGAACATGCGCCGGATTAAAGGCTTACAGTTTGGACGCTCTGAGCAGTCGCACACGTCACATCAATGTTTTGACACTTCAGTAGAATGAATGATTGCAGAAATATGGCTGAATACTCTTAAGGTTGGACTTTGCTTAGTTATATTTTGGTGCACATTTGCACTGTGCCCAGGAAGTGTTGTGGTGCCGGTCATATTGTTCCGTCCTTCTCTTCTCAAAATCAATATGTTTTGTACAAAAGGAAGAACAAAGAATGAGAGGTTTTGCCTTGGCAGTGCTAATATGTTTTCAGAATTGAAGAATATTGGAGCTGGGATAGATTTCTGCAGCTTTCTTAAGATTGAAATGAGAATTTCGTTTCGAAAGCGAGGTGGTTTTATTATTTTCAGGATATGGATACCTTCTGGGTATGTTGTTATGAGTGGAGAGGATCGGTACGGGAAGGCTGGTACAGGTGAGGTCACGGTTATAAAGCTCATTGGATTTAATTTCACATTGAGTGCATGAATGCCAGATTTCTTGAGAGCCGAGGACAGATCACTTGGTGCCAGAGGCGTCGCTAGACACTTTTTACCTCTGTGCCCCAGTTAAATATTTCTGATGAATCCTAATGTCTCGATGAAGATTGCCATATGACAAATTGAGAATCATTTTCTCAAATTATATTTTATATTAAGTCGTGTGTTTTCTATCAGCTCTGATTTTGTAAGCTGTTTTTTAGTCTCATGTCTTTTATAGTTTTTATCATATTTATTCAACAGAAATAGTTTGGGATTCAGTTTGATTCATTTGGACAGTTCACTTAAAGGCACAATATGTACGATTTTTTTATTAAAATATCCAAAAACCACTAGAACAGTGTTATATATTTTGCTGACTTGTGTACTTACATTATCCCAAATGTTTCGAGGAATGTTTAAATCCAGAGAAACAAGCAATTTTAACTAGCGACACGGAGCGTGTCTATAGTGTCATTGTGTTGCCTTCCAATGACGTCATCACCCCTCGATTTCCGTTTTGTTTTGTAGAAAACATGGAAACACCAAAGACGCTTTAATATGTTGTGTGTTTTAATAGACCGGTGACGACCACACAGAGTAGCATTATTACAGAACTTTCAAATGCATCTAGTATGATAAAACAGTGCTGCTTTACCCCACATACACACGACCGGAAGGAGCGGAAGCGGTCGACTGTGGGAAATAAAGTCACAGCTCAGCCGCTGCACATCTTCATTCAAACATAGCAGTGTCTCGTTTATGAATGAACTGCTTTTTAAACGAGTCAGTGATTCATGATTACCCATTCATAAATACTGTCCATTGTTTAATTTTGAATGAATCAGCCATTCGAATGAATCAATTGAATGAATGATTCAGTGATAAAATCAGTGACTTGTCACCACCTGCTGGCAGTTTGTTTCCTTTTTAAAGTATCTTTTCAGTTCTTTAAATAATTTAATATTTCTATATTCAACATTTTTTAAAACATTAATCTTAACATGAATTTATGGATTTAATTGCACTCATGCCACCTCTGATCCTCATTAAAAGTCAGAAAATACACCTACATGCCACTTTTGTGTTCTTCTGTGCCACCTCTGTACAAATTAATTTTAATACTGATTTCATTTGATTAGTAACTTATTCTTCTTATTCTACTTGTTCTTATTCTGTGGTTTTAATAAGAATTTTTAAAAAAAGCTTATAAAATATAATTGAAAAAAAAATTGACATAAAAGATTACATACTTTTAATAAAGTTAGAAAAATGCCATTACAAAGGTAAAAACAAAATTCCACTAAGTAACTTTAAGGAGTCAAATATCACCTCATAATGGTAAGGCTAATTTTTTATCAAATTTTGGATTATTGATTAGAAGGTGCTCCTAAATTTTGGACTGTGCTCCTAAATTTTTTAAGTTAGGAGCACAAGTGCTCCTAAAAAGAAAAATAAGCGTAGAGCCCTGGCCCTCTAGCGGCGAAAATTACATATTGTGCCTTTAAGCACTGAATCGTTTTCAGCGAAATAGTAACAAGATATTTTACTAGACAGAAAACAAATAGAGCACTGGATGGATGAGTTGGATATTTACCTACAATCCTTTGAAGGAAACAACTTGCAAATGTCTTCTATCTTTTGTCAACAATGAAGCGGCTATTTTTTTTGTGTACAGCATGTGAATGACTCTGTAGTTCAGGTAAAGATGATTTATATCCATTTATATTCAAAATAAGCGCCTGGCTCTACGTTGCATAATTTCCCACATCTTTTAGCATGGCTGTCTATTGTGATGCATTATCTATTCTGACCTCAGGCGAACTGCCTGGAAAATGTAGGTTAATGTTTATATAAAACAATCTGGCAGCAGTTCTGTGTCATGCATGTTTATAATCTAGAAATAAGAATGCTGAGGTTTTATTTTTAACATTTGAAGATGTACGCTAGTAGGGCTGCACGATAAATCGAAAATGGAATCGAAATCGCGATTTGACAGAAGCTGCGATTGTCATGCATATCTTTCAGTGAAGCATGGTTCTGTGATCAGCAGTAAATCTCCATCCAAAGGCCAGAGGGAGCGCTCTCGCGCTGAAACTCCAAATACGCCCGCAGAAGAAACCCATGAAATCCCTATAGCGGTAGCTGAATAAACAGAAGATTCAACTGCTTTCATTGATTCAACGTGACTAATAAACACACGATTATGACAATATATGGTTTATCAGAGTTATTCTTATTATAATTTTCATTAAAATAAATTATATTTATAATGCAATGCCTTTATCACTGCTTAGAATACTGTGAAATATGTTGCGTGCCTTATTCTGTGTAAGAAGCCACATCATCTCACAGAAGGATTTATTTCAAACACTCGACTGACGAAGTGAGTTTGGAGTAAAAATATGTTTAAATGTGGTATTTTCATATGCTT